AGTGCTGGGATTACAGGCATGTGCCACCACGCCCAGCTATTTTTGGTATTTCAGACCCCAGTTTATGACTTAGCACACTGTCACTAATTTATTGAGTGGCTTTTAGCTTTTCTTATTCTGACTCTACTTTTTTTGTTTGTTTGTTTTGGTTTGCTTTTGGTCTTTTTTTTGAGACAGGGTCTCGCTATGCAGTTCAGGCTGGACTTGGGCTCACTTTGTAGCCCAGGCTGGTCTCGAATTCCCAGTGATCCTCCTGCCTCAACCTCCCGAGTGCTGGGATTACAGGCATGCGCCACCACACCTAGCTCTCCTGGAATATTTTAGAAATACCTTGAGATATTTCAAAAACAAGGTTTGGACTCACTAGCACACACAGATTGTCTAATCTTCAGGAAACTTTGAGAAAGTTTCTCTTGATTCATTCTTGGGTTTTTGTTTTGTTTTGGTTTCTTTGTTTCATAACACAGTCTCACCATGTAGCCCAGGCTGGCCTCAGACTTGCAGAGATCCTGCTACCTCAGCCTCCTGACTGCTGGGATTACAGGCATCCACCACCACACTTGGTTTCTTCATTCATTTTTAGCTTACTTTCTTTTTTTTTTTTTTTTTTCTGGTACCGGGAATCAAACTCTCGACCTTGCGCTTGCCAGGTAGGCGCTTATGCTGCTGAGCTAGATCCCCAGCCCTTTCTTCATTCATTTTTAATTCTTAATTCACGGTACAGTTAAATCTGTACTCTTGGATCATTTGAGAGTTGGGGGTAAATTAAGTGTTCTTAGTAGTGTAAGAGTCTCCTTAAGGAACATCAAAACATTTTTTAAAATTAATCAATTTTATATAAAAATATAATTTCTTCAAATGCTATTTATAGTAAATTCTTCCTTGCACGCTTCAGGAGAGTGTACTGAGTATGTCTTACTGGTTTGTTGATGACTCAGTGTAATGACAGATATTCCCCACTGTCTAATGAGTGTGATTCAGTGGGGTGTAACACCCTGCCAAGAAAGGGAATGCAATGACAACGCACAAAGTTCAAAAAGAATAATGAGCAGGATCTTTCCGATTACTCACATCGCCTCTGCACTCCGCTGTACATACTGGAAGCCCCGCACCAGGAAACACGTTGGCATAGTGGACTATTCTATTTGAAGAGAGCAGCTAGCACAGAAGTGATCATGAAACAAAGCTCCGCAAAGGCAGTGCCTGAAAACATCAGAGTCAAGTGAGAGGGCCTCCAGTCTGTGGCCTCTGTGTGTCGTCCAGCCCTTGTGCCCAGCTGCTCAGGACCAAGCTCCAGTGTATAATTGCTTGGGATCTGGTCAGCTATTCTCACAGCTTTCAGTCTGACTGGAAGATCTCGCATGATCTGAGAATGGTTACCTCTGACATGAGCCAGTGACTGAAATGGTGTCGGAACTTACATGTTATACAAGGCCCATGATCTCCACCATAGCCACTTAGTGGTCCTCAAGGGTACATGAGTAATGGCTGGAGAAGGCGCTGACGGGGCCTCGCCATCAGCCGAGATCTTGAGATGGTCTTACTGAAGCAGCTGGCGGTTTTAGCAAATCCAAATATCATCCAGCTGATGGATACCTGTGCCACACACCCTGAGCTGGACAGAAGATGAAGGCAACCCTGATGTTTAGGGATGCAGTCCAAGTCCTAAGGACTCGTGTGAACAGGCGCTCCCACCACACCCGGAAGCACAGACTGTCAAGGACCTGATGTGTCAGCTTGTGAGGAGCCTGAATTTCCTTCGTTGCATCATTCTCCAAGACCTGCCACCCGAGAACGTTCTGGTGACAAGCAGTGGAACAGTCAAGCCAGCTGACTTCGGCCTGGCCAGAGTCTACAGCTATGGGATGCACACTCCAGTGGATGTTGCACTTCGACATCATGCTCCAGAAATTCCTATGCAGCCTACACACGCAACCCCGTGGGTGTGTGGAGTGTTGGCCATGTCTTTGTCACGATATTTGTCTAAAGCCTGTCTCCTGTGGAAACCCTGAAACTGACCAGCTGGGTAAAATCTCTGACCTTGTGAGGCTTTCTCCAGAGGCTGACAGGCAGGAGATGTGCTCTGCCTGGGAGCTTTTCCCCACGGAGGGCCCCTGCAGAGCAGTCTGTGGTGCAATAAATGGGAGAGGGAAGCCCAGCTACTGCTGGAAATGCTGGCTTTCAGTCCATCCCAGGGAGTCTCTGGGACCCCCTCGCCCAGCTCTGCCACACTCTTAGCTACACAGGGAGCAAATGGTAACCTCGCTCCAGCCACAGGAGGAAGAGAAGCCGCGTTCCCTCTTCTGTACATATGATGGAGAGGAGCCCACTGAGAAGGCCGCCCCTGCCTCCCCGCCAGAGGCTGAGACTCCTCCTGCAGCTTTTCACAGGGAACACTGTGCTGCCTTGGACACTCCCTCCCTCCTACTCCTTTTTTCATGCTCCTACCCATAGTTCTCTACACCCAAGCCTCTGTTCCCTCTTCTCCCCTTTCCTACCATGACACCAAGGTCCTGTTTTTCTTAAGACAGGAAAACAAGACAAAGATATATGAAAACAATTTTTAAAAAATAGAGACCCAGGCATGGTGGCACACATCTCTAACCCTAGCACTCTGGGAGCCTGAGGCAAGGAGAGCTAAGGTTCAAGCCCAGCCTTGGCAATTCAGCAAGACTCTGTCTGGAGGAGGGGGCTGTGGTAGTGCATGCCCGTAACACCGTCACTTGGGAGGCTGAGGCAGGAGGACTGCCATGAGTTCCAGACCAGCTTGGGCTATGTGTAATCATTATGTACTGCAAACTTGTACTAATAATATTTTTTTAAGAAAACATTTCATGTACAAGATCCTGCTTGTTTTTCAGGAAATAAAAAGATAAACAAACAAAAGTTCCCCCTCAATAAAAAAAAAATACCCTTCGGCAGCTAGAGTACAGACAATGTGAGGTGAAGAGGAAAGAGCAGCAAAAGAAACAAGTTATTGAAGACCTGGAAAAGTAAGTTGAGGATGCTGCATTTTTGAAACAGGCAATTGGAAATGATGAAGCACTTGACAATCCTTTTCAACTCAAAATTTGATCATAAAATCAACTCTATCAAGATACATTATGTACAAAGTCATGTTCAGCCCAACCCAAACTCCCAGAGGTATCTGTAAGCAATTTAGCTTGTATCTTTATCTAGCTTTATTTCTTAGATTCTTCATCTATAAAAGTTAAGATGGTAATACATGTACTCACAGAAGTGTTATGAGGATTAAATTAGTTTTTGTCAAATATATAAAGACAAGGAGGCCGGGTGTGGTGGCACATGCCTATAATCCCAGCACTCAGAAGGCTGAGTCAGGAGCATTGATGTGAGTTTAAGGCCAGCCTGGGCTACACAGTGAATTCAAGGCCTGGATGAACTACACAGGGAGACTCTATCTCAAAAAAAAAAAAAAAAAAAAAAAAAAAGGGCTGGGCATAGTAGCTCACACTTGTAATCTCAGCACTTGAGAGGTTGAGGCAGGAGGATTGCTGAGAGTTTGAGACCAGCCTGGCTCACAAAGTGAGCTCAAGGCCAACCTGAACTGCATAGAGAGATCCTGTCTCAAAAAAGACAAAGAAAAAAAAGAAAGAAAGAAAGAAAGAAAGAAAGAAGGAAAGAAAAAAAGAATGAAAAAGAACAAAGATTTTGTCTGATTTGGGGTTTTTTACCCTCTTCACCATTCATATTTTTAGGCTGAATAATTTTTGTTTTCTAGAGGGTTGGGGTGGGAATTACTATCCTGTGCATTGTAAATGTGTAGCCATACCTCTACCTTCTATATACTGAATGCCAGTAGAAAACATCCTACAAGCAAGGCATGGTGGCATGTGCCTGTAATACTGGCACTCAAGAGGCTGAGCCAGGAGGATCACTGAGTTCAAGGCCAATCTGAAATGAGCAGTGAAACCCTGTCTCTAAAACACAAAAAACCCAAAACCAAAGAAAACAACAAAAAAGAAAACATCCCACATATATTCACCTGTAACAACAGAAATATGTGTCCAAAGCTAAATATGTCTTGGAGATAAAATTACCCTAGTTTTAGGACCACTGTTCTAATTTACTCCAGATTTATAATACCTGTACAGTATGCAATAAATATTGACTGAATATAATAAATGAATTAATACACACAAACCTCCTAAATTGTATGGGTACATAGGAAGCCCTCAGCACATGTGAGCAGTGATTGTCATATTTATTATGCTATTTTCCTGCTAGACTATACTCCATACAACTATTTCTACATAGCTGGGATCAAATTATATGTGGTTCTCTGAAGTATTTTACTAACAGTTTAGCTTAGATATCTTTTGATACGGGTACCACCACTTTCTATATCTCTACCGCAATCATTTTCTATGGTAAAGAGAATTCCACATGTGACAATTAAACTTAATTGTTAACTTGATTGGCTTGGGAACGACTCTGGGGATTATAAAGCACACTTCTGAGTGTATCTGGGTGTGTGACCACGGGGTCTGTATCTGATCCCTAGCCCCTTTTTCTCTGACACTCTTCCCCTGTGCTCTGCTTCCTAGCCATCATGAAATGAGCACGTTTGCTCCACCTGACATTTCTGCCACAGTGTCCTGCCTTATCTCAGACCCACAGCAATGGAAATAGCCAACCATGGACTGAACCCAATGAAATCATAAGATAAATTAACCCTGTCATGAAGAGAGGCTATTTGGCCACCTGAAAGAAAACAGCTAAGGTGAACTGTCTTAGTCACTTTCCCATCGCTGAAACACAACACCTCATACTAGCAATTTAAAGGAGAGGTTTAGGCCGGGCGCTGTGGCCCACGCCTGTAATCCCAGCACTCTGGAGGCTGAGGCAGGAGGATCATTGCAAGTTTGAGACCAGCCTGGGCTACAAAGTGAGCTCAAGACCAGCCTGAACTGCACAATGAGACCCTGTCTCGAAAAGACAAAAAAAAAAACGGGAAAAGGTTAATCCGGAACAAAAGTTTAAGCCAACAACGGCCGGCCCCAAAGCAAAAAACGCAACCGGGAACTGCAAGACAAAAGAAAAAGGGCAAAAAAAAAAAGGGGGAACCGGGGAAAAAAAACCAACCCCCCAAGGTAAGCCCAAAAGGAACCAACCCCAAACAAGCCCCAAAACCCAAAAACAAAATCAACCGCCCAACAAAGGGGGAAACCAACGAGGAAGAAAAAGCCCCCACGATCCAGTCACCCTTCACACACAAAAAAATGGGATGGGGTTGGCGGGCACGTTTTAGATCTATAACTTTGATCATGGGCTGACAGGCTGGGAGACTGGATCTCTGTATGCACACTGGGTCCTAAGTCTGGATCCTGAATGCTAGGAATGAAGATCACTCTTCTCTGTCCCTCTAGCCATGGTCTGCATCATTCTTGTATGTTTTATGTCTATTATTTAGAATTCTTCTGTCTTCTTGGGGCTGTCAAGCAATCAGCTGCCACTTCTTGTCTGTATTGTTGTGTCTGCCTTGAGCAAGAAATAATAGATATGAACATCCTTTGTATAAAATAGTTAAGGCCAAGGAAATGTGCAGCTCTGTGCCCTCGTGGTCTCCAGTGAACTAGATAAGCCTTGATAACCAAGCTTATTACACTGATGCCTAAAATTAAAGTAAACAAATAGTGAGTGAGGGCCTGAGTGAGTTTTTACGGTTGAAAAGCACTGAGTGACTTAATGCTTGAGTATTATAATATCCATTTATATGCAGAGATTTGGGGGCAGTCTCTAGTTTCTCATCAGGGCTCTAGATAAATGAGATTGCAGGGCATAGGTTTGGTGTTGTCCCGAGGTTACTATCATTTTTATCTAAATTATTTGTGGAGCAAGACAACAAATATATAAATAAATACCAAAAATAAGCAAACAAATAAATAATTGTCCAGTCTCAGTACTTCTCTACTCATGAACTGAGGAACTGATACAGTTTCTCAGCTTTCTGGCTTAGCACGAGATTCCTGTACTTCTAAATTAAGGTTTGTAGACCGGGGCGTAATGGTGCACACCTGTAATCCCAGCACTCAGGAGGCTGAGGCAGGAGGATCAATGCGAGCTTGAGGCCAGCTTGGGCTAGAGTGAGTTCAGAGCAAGCCTGAAGTACATAGCAAGACCCTGTCTCAAAAAAAAAACCCAAAATAAATAAATAAATAATTTTTAAAAATAAAATTGGGTGTGTGTTCTTGAAATAAGTTTAGAAATTCAGCAAAGGGAAGAAAACTACAATTTGAAAATGTACCACTACATTTTATGTCTAGCAACCACTTCTTAACACCTAGGTACAAAAGGAATCCACAAGCTGTTACCCATCTTTCATTTCCAGAGGTCCTTCACAAACTTTTCCATTAATTCTGTTCCTTTTAGATCTTCCCAAGTCAACACCTACACTAAATTACTACTAAAATTAAGCCCTAGTTCTGCATCTACATTCTCTCTCTGCTGCAGTCTGGAGAAGTCTGTACACTTTGCTGTCCAGTCCTCATTTCCACCTCACTCCAGAACCTGGTTTGAAGCCCTGGACTTCCTCAAACCCAGATGCTGGCAAGCATTCTCTATTAAACAGCCCTCTCACAGGTCTATGTATTTTTTTTTTTTTTTTGATTTTTCTCCGGTACCGGGAACTGAACTCACGACCTTGCACTTGCCAGGCAGGCCCTTTGCTGCTGAGCTAAATCCCCAGCCCCAGGTCTATGTATTAAAAATAGGTAGAATGACTCACTATTGCTTCTTCTTTATGCGAACTGAGGGCAAGCACCACTGCTCCATGGATAGAGAAGCAGAGAAGGGCAGCGTACGAAGGAGAAAGCATTGATACTGTACATTCTTATGGGATGTGCTATACCATTTCTAAACATGTACACAATATGCAAATATCAGATCGGAATAATTTGCATAATTATCACCCACATCATTTCTTGCTGTTGGGAACATTCAAAATCCTCTGTACTAGCAATTTTGAAATATTCTTAGTTGTTGTCAATCAGAAATAATTTTCTGACTTTATATTGGATTTACGCCTGATATCCCCAATGGGAAATTTATCCGCAAGTGAATTTATGTAGAATTTTCCTTTTTTTTTAAATGCTTGCCTAGGGAGGCATGTTTTCGTTGTCTGGAACAGCTCATGTAAGCACTGCTGTTCCTCTTCATGGTCACACTTTAATGTTATAATAATACCTCCGGTTTCAAAACTGGCTTTTGTCAGACTCTTCTGCCTTGGTGTCCTGAGCTACAGCTTTTAATGCATTCCTTCATTCAAGAAATCACCGTAGAATGAACATCTCTCATAATAGGAGGGACTGCCGTGTTCTCCAACTCAAGAGAGCAATGTTCTCAGCATAGTCTCTGGCACTGAACTCTCATGGGTGAGGATGGGGATTCCCAGTAGAAGTGTTTACCAAAGGGGTTGGAAGGGCAAGCATTACATAATTACTTGCTCCTGGCCTTCTGGAAATGATTAATGAACATTCCTTAAAACAAGGAGGTTATTGTGTATTTGTTATTCATTCATACCTGCTGGTAGTTGTTTTGTTTTATTTGTGATACTGGAGATTGAATTCAGGGCTTTCCTACTGAGCTACATCCTAGTACACTGAGACAGAGTCTTGCTAAATTGTGAAGTTGCCAAAACTATGTTGGAATTTGTCTAGAGACTTTCTCTATACCTGATGTGAAAGTACACTTAGTAATCAAATGTAAGCCCAGAACACACAGAGATTCTAAAGCATTATGACATAGCCACTGAAAATACTGACTTTCAAGTAAGGTTTCTGTCTTATAAATGTTTATAACTCTTATCACCTAGAGGTATAAAGTCCAGCCCTGATAATATGATCTTTGTAACACACAGAAAGAGTCAAGTTTATTTATTATGATCACATGTTCTATTTTTTTAAATCGAGCTATGACAATAGAAAACTTGCTCTTCTTTAATAAACTCAAGCCAGAAATATCACACAATCTAGTTGTGGGAGGTTTATTTATTATGCTTTATAAAAATCTTCTCTTTTCTTTATGAAAACCTTTTTCCTAACAGTAACTGATCTTTCTCATAAAATGTTCCACCATATGAAACATTTATAAACTTGGTATAACTATTTATGTTTCAGGTGGGAATATTTCTTCAAGCAGAGGAATTTATATAACAGTTCTTATTACCATCCATTAAGCAGCTTTTTATGTTGGGTCTATTTGTAAGGTGTATTAGTGCCAGCTTGTAGGAGGAAATGACTTCTAGCATTTTCATGAGTTTATAATTAGAAGTCATTATTTTAAGTAACCTACACTAAATAGTACTGAGCGCTTGACAGAGGGTAGATACAAAGGTGACCCGGGCTCTGTGTATTCTCTCTCTGTACCTACCTGGTGCCTGCAACTGATTTTTTCCTTAAAGAATATGATCAAAAGGCAAACTAAGCAGGTTTATAACCATAGATTAAATGGAGTGCCTCAAGAGTATGGGAAGAGAGTACAGGAAGATGAATTCCAACTGGGGGATTTGCAAATGTGTATAGCAACCACATGGGGAGGTCAGAGGAACAGGAAAAAAGGAGATTAAGGGATGAAGAGAGACTTGAAAATTTAAAGAATGGAGGCCTGGCTGAGGAATTTAGACTGAACCCAGGAAGTCCTAGGACTTGAAAGTACCAGGCTTAGATTGAAGTTTTCTTAGCAAGGTCTTAGGGTTTCCCTGTTTCATACAGGACATAATCTACACTGTAATATATGAGGTCTACAAAAAACAACCTCATAGTAATCTATTATCTGTTGCTGGTCCCCAGGGCTATTCCATTCCTCTAAGAGGGAGCTTCATTTTCACCAAACGAACTTTCTAACTTCCCAGCACATCTTTAGATCTACTCTCCCTATTGCTTCTTTCAAGCTCTGCCACCAGGCTGGGGCCCTACCCCATTCCTCTCCAGGTCTCCAATATATATACTGAGCACTAAATATATAGAGCTGAGGGCTTAGTATGCGTTAAGCAGTATAGAAAACAGATGTTATACCAGCTCCTGCTACTGCTAACCAGGGCATTTAAAGCCCGTCTAAATTGTACGCATTTGTTGACAGAACTTCTCTAGACTGTCCTGACCTGTGACATTCTAGGTAAGAAATGTCATCACCAGTTATACAGATGATATAAACATTGTCCTGCAAGCATACTTTTATTTAAACAAATGTTATTTGAAAGCTGGGTGTGGTGAGGCATGCCTGAAATCCCAGTACTCTGGGTGGTGGAAGCAGTGGGATTGAAAGCTCAAGCCCAGCCTGGGCAACTTAGTGACTTGGCAAGACTTTGTCTCAAAATGAAAAAATAAAAAAGGGCTTAGGATGTAGCTTGGTGAAAAAGCCTTGGGTTCAATCCCTAGTATTGAAAAAAAAAAAAAAAGTTATTTGACTTCTTTAGTATTGTTCAATTTTTCATCAAATTATATTTAAGTCCTTCAGAACAGAGATTCTATTTCATCTTTTTCTTATAATTCTAGTTAAACTGTTTTCCATATTATATGTGTTATATGTGCTCAGCAGATAACTGACTTTTACAAAAGTTCATCATAATTACTTTTTAACATAATGAGCCAGGGTATAAGGATGGGACAAAAGTTTATTTTCCTAAGTAAGAGATTTCAAAAATCCATTATTGCAGAAGTTATATAATCGTAAAGTTATTATGAGAAAAATCTGTTAGCTTATTATCAGGTTTTCATAGAGCTGGAAGAAAATCCATTTTTCCATAAAATTAGAAATAATATTGTTTCAAAATAAAGAATAAAGAATATTTATTTATTCATTTTATGTGTTTATTTTTTTGAGACAGGGTCTTGCTGCATAATTCACTTGATCTTAGCCAAAAGGCTGAGAAGCAATTGATGCTGCATAATTCAGGCTGGCCTTGAACTCACTATATGGCCCAGGCTGGCCTCGAGCTCTCAGCAATCACCAAGCTTCAGCCTCAAGAATACAGACAAATACCACTGTACCTGGCTGAGAACAGAATTTTAAATTGAATAAATTTG